AAATGTATTTCTCACAGTTCTGGAGACCGGAAGTTCAAGCTCAGAGTGCCAGTGTTGTCGGTTGCTGGCCAGAGTTCTCTCCTGGATGGCTGACTGCTGCCTTCTCATTGTACACTCACACGGGGGAAGGGGAGAGAGAGTTGTCTCGGGTCTCTCTTAAAAGAGCACTGATTCCATTCATTAGCACTACGCAGTCCTGGGCAGAGAGGTAACTCTGCTGCACAGACCGCCAGGCCCAGGTGTTTGGTTCTGTAATAAATGTGCACAGGGCTCACACAGAAAACGATATTTTGATAATTCTTCTGGGTGAACAATGCTATCCTATCCTTAGCATCAACCACTATTTGGTATTTTTACCTAATGAATGGATAGCCCTATCAAGGCAGTGTGACCCATACTACTGGCGAAATAGGTAGAAATAAATTAAATAATAAATATTTAGTTTAGTTGCTTCTATAATGTTTAATGCAGAGAAAAAAAAAGACATCAACTTTTAGTATAAAACTAGTATTTAAATGCACATGTACAGTCTAAATGCTAGCAACTCATGGAATCAGGTGAACTATTTGATATCTGACAACTTTAAGGTGGCATTAAAGCACAGGAAATGGAAGCATTAAGCTTTCTTGTAGGTTCAAGACATCATGGCCCTAATACATCACCACAGAGTGTTTCAATGACATAGCTCATAGTCCACATACCTGGAAGGAGAAAGAGCTGAGGTTTTTGCCACTGTTGCTTGTGTTTTAATGGCCTCAATGTTCTCTCATTCTTTTGCTCTTGTACATAGAAATAAATGTAGCCAGAACGTTCTTACTGTGTGCTGAGGGAGTTTTTGAGAAATCAATACACTGGAAGCCGAATTTGTTTTCTAATGCAAGTAATCTTAGATGAAAAATTATGTTGAAGAGGATTTCTGCTTCTACTTTTTTAAGTGGACCTAATGTACACCTGATGCCTTCTAAAACCCACATAATAACTAAAAAAAAGTGTTTCCTAAAAGTAGGTGAGTAGGTCCAGAAATAAGTGCCTCAAGAAACAATTTTTGCATATCAATTAGTCATTTTTAAAAAGCAAAAGATGTTCTATTCATTACCTTCTCCCTCAGACATGTTTGATAACCTTCATATTTTATTATTATTGACAACATTAATGTTATTATCTGCATCCTATACAAGTAAAGCTTTATAACCCATGAAACCTGAAATACTTTAACATAAATCGTATACTTTAACTTAATATTAATTGCAAAAATAATTATGTACTACATCTCCTAAAGTAATGTTACAGAATTTCAATAAACATGATGGATTCCCCTATGAATTATTCCTAATACTTAAGGACATTTTTTAGTTCCAATTATATGTTATACCTTTTTAAAACTATTTTTAATTCTTTCCTCTTTTTATTCTGTTGCTTCTTTCATATGACTTTGGATATAATGACTAAAGTGTTATATCTGGATGTATTATATATGTATGGATGGATATATGTATATATTTATACTTTGCCCAGATTTTATCATTAAAATCAGTTCAATCATAAAAAAAATATTAGAAATCTCAGGGTTTTAAAACACCAATGTTGGGTAATCAGCATGCATTATATTTTTCTGTTTTGTAAACTGTAATTTCATAGAAATTAAAAAGCAAAAAGAGAAACAAACAGGCTTTTATTTTTCTTTCAGAAAATGCACTGAAAATTGAAAGGCTATATCAATAAATTAATATCAGGGAGCATTATTACTTTATACTTAAACGTTGATAGAAGACTTCCCATTACAAACAACAATGTGTACAGGGTAATGAGAAGATATGTATTTAACTTTAATAATAGCTTTCGTAATATTTTCATTTCTTAGAGGAGATTTTAGACTATTTTTAATATTCATGTCTTTAAAAACAAAAACACAGTATATATTTTGTAAGAACAAAGGTAAAATATTGCCTCAAAATTCACAATATATTTTTCTTTTTTTAAATTTTTTATTTAATTATTTTTCAAGTACAGTTTTCTGTCTATTTCTCCCATCCCAGCCCACCCCACCCCACCCCGTGCTCCCCACCTCCCTCCCATTTCCCCCCTTAGTTATTGTCCCTGTGTCCTTTATACTGTTCCTCTAAATCCCTCCCTTTTTTCCCTAAATTCCCTCCCTTCACAATATATCTTTCAATATTAATTTTTAGGTGGAATGTTTTAAATATGTAAGGAAAAAATAGAACATTGAAAAGCAATGAATAATAACATTTAAAAGTAAATACTACAATATTTTTAACCAAAAAGTACCATTGCTAAACATAAATTTAAAAATTAAAAAAAAACAGATTGACCTCATAAATATTTATCAGCACATTTAATGAAATTTCAATAACAAAAAAACAATTCCTGTCAATGAATATGAAATCTTTCAATTTTTCAAAATTGAAAAGATTTAAATCACAAAATTTAATTATTTGAATTATTTAATTCAAATAATTAAATTTTAAAATATTTTAAAGCCTGCCAAGGAACTGTCTGCAAAATTTTATTGTATATTTTCAGTCACTGTCAAATATTGCAAACACTCAAAATATTAACTTAATGCTTCATGTATATAAATATTCACATTACAATAAATAGTTTTGTGGCTATTTATGTAGTTTCAAATGATTAGTTTTAGGGTCACATTTGAATAGTAAAATATCCAGTAATCACATTTAAAAACTGTGTGGTCACTACAACTCATTTGAAGCGAACATCCCTAGTGCAAGCTGCCTTTATTGGCGCTGTTGAAAAAACAAAATCGGGTTAGGTCTGGTAGCTAAATCCATTTGAACATTTTACAGGAATCTGCAGCATCATCAAAGAAAGGAAAAATCACTGAGGAAGATGGAGTCAGGGAGAGATTTACTTGCAAAGAGAAGCGCAAGATGGTTCCTTAATTTGGTCTCTTTATTTAAACTAACACAAAATTACCATATTTGGAGTTTTATGTCTGTTTAAGATGGAAAAACAGACTGTATCACATTATTATTACATCTGCATAAATAGTCATATATCTGTAGACATCAACATTACAAAAGCAAAGTAAAATGGCTTATGAGCTCTGGCTTAGATAGAAGCCTCCAAGTTGCGCTGATTGAAAGGCACAGCCAAGTGTTGGAAGCAACTGAAGTTCCCACCAATAAATGAGTGGATAAAAGAACTATGGTACATTCAAATATTATGCAGTAGAAAGAGAGAAGGAGGCCCTACCCTTTGCAAGAGCACGAATGGAACTGGAGAGCATTATGCTAAGTGAAATAAGCCAGGTGGTGAAAAACAAATACTATATGATCTCACCTATAAGTGGAACCCAATCAACAAAACAAACAAGCAAGCAAAATGTAACCAGAGACACTGAAATAAAGAACAAAGTGACATAGCCAGGGAGGAGAGAGGCAGGGGATAACGGGAAAGAAAGAGGAGGGACATAATGAACAAGCATAAAGGACCCATGGACAAAGCCAAAGGGGGGTGGGATTGAGGGTGGGAAGTAGGGGCGGAGTGGGGAAAATTGGTGGTGGGAAAATGTGGACAACTGTACTTGAACAACTGTCTTAAGTGAATGAATGAATGAATGAATGAATGAATGAATAAATAAATAAATAAATAAATAAATAAATAAATAAATAAATGGCATATAATTGGAAAGCGTGAGCTTGTGCTTTGTTTGTTTGGGGGGAATAAATTTGAATTTGCTGACTCTGGGATGGTATGTGCACAATTTGCCTTCATTTAGGAGTACAGAAATAAAATCCCTCTAAAAAATGTCTCCAGGCCGGGTCCAAGCTTTTACTCTCCCATCCCACTTTGACCGTATTGCTAGATTAGTTGTTTCATGAAGATTTCTCCTCTCTCTCTGATTAAGGCATTAATCAGATATAGAAAAAAATAACTGACACTTGAATTTGGTCAATTTCTTCTTTCATCAGCTTTTGAAGTCCCAAATATTTCAAAAAGAAATCTACAAAAACATAATTTAAATATTCCCTTCACTTAGAGCATGTCCTAATCAGTAATAGAGATGCCTCCCTTCCCCGGAGGTGGTAGATATACTATCAGTTTTTCTGCAGGGCCCATGAAGAAGCTGTGACTCTCTCTAGTTACTTCCTCATCATCCAAAAGAACCAACAACAACAAAAAACAGAATTCTTGTTGGCTACTAAGTTGTATTTTAGATTCCAGGGGTACATTTTTAACTTTGTTTTCTTTCCTTTGAAACTGTTTTCATAAGTTCTTGTACAGACAAACAGTCTGCTATTGGTTTATTCAAAGGTAATTTTTGAAAAAAATGAACATATTATTATTTTCATTTTTAATAGAATTTATTGAGGTGACATTGGTTAACAAAATCGTACAGGTTTCAAGTGTAAAACTCAACAAAACATCACTTTCACACAGCATCGTGCACCCCTTGCCCCAAATAAAGTCTCTTTCCATCTGCATTCTTCCCCCTTTGACCCAACTCCACCTATCCCCACCCCCTTTTTCCTCCGGCTATCACCATAGTGTTGTCAGTCATAGGAACTTTGGCAGCTTAAAGATACAAGATCCACTACAGTTTCTTGAGAAATCACTTCACGACATTTTGCATGTGTATGGGTAATAGAATTATTAAACTGTGCTTTCCTTCTTGCTTTTCTTGGCAATGGAACTGAATTATATCAGAATCTGCTGGAGCATGTCATGGTTCACTCTCTACTCTCCAGTCTTTTCCATTCAGGGCTGCCTCTGGTTTTTCCCTGGATGGCACTGGGGCAACACATGCTGAATCAGCAGGTAGAAGAGATGCGCTCTCTCCTCTGAGAGTCCTGTCATCATGATCATCACTGGAAAAGTGATTAGGTCATTTAGGTCTGACAGGCTTGTATTTGTTTCTTCCAGGTTTGGGATTTGGGCTCCTTTGCCCTAGGTAAAACACTTTCCCACTGGTTTGTCAATAATTCTATATGCCATCATTACAATTCATGGTATTATCAAAGCAGGATTCAAACTACAATATAGCCGTTAAGTGATGGCTGTCATTCCTCCTGCTCAAAATAAAGGTGTTTCTTAACTACACCTGTCTGCTATACTCCTATCACAGCCAGGGATGTTTGGTCTCATACATATCATTAAAATAAAAAAAAATTCACAATAGTATCACCTGGAACCTTTCCCACACTGCTGCTGTAAAACTTAAATGTCGATGCTGTGATTTGTAACTTCGGTCCTCCAGGATTCTGCTGATTGGATGCTCTTAACGATGGTCTGCTGATAAATTCAAAGTTACAACTTGTCTGCAATTTCTTTGCAAATCTTCTAAATCAGTTAAATATATTTTTGAGGCAGGTGACAGAAGAGGAACAGGCTGATATGTACTGCAATATTTGGTCGCTGTATTTTAATCATTTTAATAAAGCTTTATTTTGCCAGTATATTTAGTACTTTTCTTTAGCAGTAACTAAATTGAATCAACCAATTCACATTCGAATGAAAAAATGGGCTGAATGGTAGGTCTTCCAGTGGGATGGGTTTGCTCAATTCCATATGTAGTATTTATGTCTAGAATCCTAGAACTCACGCTATCTGCCTACCTGCTTTGAATGCCACAGTGAATTGTATCTATTTAAAGTACATTAAGTGATTGCTTGCTTTCCTTTTGAACAGTGCAAATACTGATGCTGTGTTTGACTCACTGTTAATTATGACCTCAAGGTTGATGATCTCATATAATAACTGCAGAGGTTGCTTTAACTTCGTTCTGTGTAAGTAGCATATATTTTATTATAATATTTCACATTTTAAAACACTTGATCTTTCATTAAATTATGACATTTAACTATTTTTATGTTTATACTAGGTAAGATTTTTTTGTTTTTATGGTTTTGGTATGCTAAATAAAGGTATATTTTAAAAAGCATAATATTATGAGTTTTATCCATATTGTACATAAGTTTCTGGTGAGACATATAAATGGATTATCCAGGCACAGTTTGAAAACTAAAATTCCCTGAATTCAGACGAGGGATCATTTGCATAGAGATGATGATTGAAGTTCTGAAAGTAGAGGAAATACAGCAGTTAGGAAACATATACAGTAAAATAAAACTATTAATATAACCATTATCCTTCTATTGACCCATTCTTCTCAAATAATAATTAATACAGCCAAGTCTTAAACCATGAGGATGATTATCGGTTACCATTAATCAAAATTTAATTAAAGAAGATTATTTTCCACTCTATATTTAGCCATGCTGCATAGATCATTACACATGATTAAAGAAAGAAACCTCTTTATAAATCCACCGTATCATTGAAATTTCAAATCTAATCCTATTCATTAAAATCTTGATAGTGAAAAGCATTACCACCAATAATAACAAAAGCATTTATTTTGCTCTCATCCTTAGGAAAAAATCAAACAGAAAAAGTCCCATTCTTTGAGCAACTTATAGCATGTGGGACTGATTTATGGATTATTGGAGCAGGCAGCTACTCTATTACTGTGATTTAAAGGACTCTAAAAAGTCTCCCTTGAATAAATTAACTCCCAGTTGGATCTTTTTAAATACCCATCATTAGTGCTTTCCCCAGTGTGCTTTACGTAGGAGATGCATAGAGAGAGTTAGGCAGTACATTTCCCTGGAGAGGTAACACATTATCTAGCTAATGAATTAACAGAGAACAATTGGTTGCATTTACTACCACTAACCATATTTGTACATTAGATAGCTGGATTCTAAAGGTAATGGGGAAGTAGAAAATGCATATCATCAGCAACAGGAAAAGGCAGAAAAGTCAAAGATCTAAAACACGATTTTGTTTTTATCTGGGTTTGAGGGTTATGGCAAGAAAGACCATTCAAAGAGAAGTAGAACTCTGCATGTGTTCATGTGTGTGAATACAAAAACACAAGTGCGTGCATTTATTTTTATTTTTAATATTTGCAATATAGTGTGTGTGCTGTTATATAACTGGATTATTCTCTCAACACCTTAGAAATGATTATGATATCAATACATTCACAAAAGTTTGCTGTGGCTGAGTAGATCTAAATTAGGTTCAATTTTCAAACATCTAGCAAGGGTTCCCAAACCTCACCTTGAGGGGCACTTGTGGCCCAGGATGGCTATGAATGCAGCCCGACACAGAACTGTAAGTTTTCTTAAAACATTACGAGATTTTTTTTGTGGCTACATTTCACAATATATTTAATGTGTGGCCCCAAACAACTCTTCTTCCAGTGTGGCCCAGAGATGCCAAAAGTTTGGACACCCCTGAAAATGGTGTTCTATGTATTGTAATGTAAAAAAATAATAATAATGGTGTTACTATTTCAACAGCAAGCAATTACACAAAATTTCCCTTGTAAAATGTCTCTTGATTATCTCTATTGTTTTTCTTTTTTCTTTAAATCAAGTGAAGCTTTTCAGTTCCATCTGAATGCACATCTCCATATTTACTCCATTATTCATTTGTAAATAATACTTGGCTCAGGGGGACAGATAGCAACTATTCTTTTAGAGGGGCAGCACTTTTGTTTTCAGGAGTATTATAAAAACTTTTAAAAATTACATCTAATGGAAAACATCTCATTTTATTGAATGTAAAAGAGATTTTCTCTTTATACAGTCAGTGAAGCTACTTAAAATAGTTGTCGACACCATATTTTTCTACTTGATCCTGTGGTCATTTTTTAGAACTCCTTTTTTTTTTTTCTCCACTGGTAGAACTCCGAATTTTGAAGGGCTAGGTTTTGGGTTTGGTTCACTACAATGTCTCATAGAAGCTAATGGACTTAAAGAGATCCCTTAAATTTATATTTTAAATCTAAAACAAATTTGAATTTCCATTTCTGCCTCCTTGAAATATACACTTAGGTGCCAAAATTCAGAGTGGTAGAAAGGTTTCTACATTTTCCCACCATTTGATTGTCACTGTTCTCCCAGCCTTCTCAGTAATGGGCACTACCGTTCTCCAAGATGCAAACCAAAAGGTCACTTTTAATACCTTTTTTTTCCTTTTTCCCTACAATTTAATTCATTGACAAATCCTGTTGGAAACATCTCATATGACAATATTTTATTATTTCTGCTCTTTCTTTAATCCAAACCTTTACCGTATCCAAAATATACTATTGCAGTGTTATATTACTTAGGTTGTATCTGTTTCAACTTTTCGTATGCAATGCCATGATATCTGGAAAAATATTAAAAATTTTAACTGGCTACATAAATAAATGCCTGACATCATGAATAATAGTATTTGAGGGCGGAAGAATGATAATTAATTTTATGACGTGATAATATACCTGGTTGTATTTTTGCCTGCTTTAAATTCAAAGGCAAATAAATCTAAACTAAGAAGAACTTGGAACTTTGGAGATAAAGAGTAGAAAACAAAATTTCAGTGCCATTGGCAACTTCAGTCAGCTTATGCAACCAGGTATTGTATAGTAAGAAAGGGGAAACAATTAAAAAGATCAGGTCAGAAACTGATACAATAGGAAGAATTTAGAGACAGCCTAGATATGTACAATTGAAAAAGAAGTCCAGTTATTATCCTCAGTAAGTTAAAAATTAATTGGCAAATATGTTTGAGTCTTGAGGATAAATCTTAGAACAGAATCCAATAATCATATGGTCATTACACCCATCAGTCGAATTTCTGAATAGGTAGATCTTGCATAGTGGACTACCTATGGCTGACTAAATCCACTTGTCAGATGTAATACAAGGGCAACAATACAGGAATATGGACATTTGGAATTGTGGAACAGGCTCTATCCCTATGGGACCCCCCCACAGCCCTTACAACTACTATTTTAGTATATACTGACTCATCTTTCAATTGCCAGCACTTCTTTCGAGGTCTGTCACTAGCTTTGGGACCCTCAGGCTTTGTGGGAAGTCAAGCTAGACCTGAGGAAGGGAACATTCTCTGAGGGCACTGTGAACAGCTCACACTCAACAACATATCATGGCTCGTGCACAGATGTTCCATTTTCCTGCTTCTCAGCAGGGATACTCTGAGGAGCATGTTCTACAGCAGTTCTCAGGTTTCCCCACTGATGTTAAGCTCCAGTTGTAAGTTTCTCCATTAGGTAAGCTTACACTCACTTCTTTCTTACATGCATATGTTCCATCTCATTGGTATTTCTTAAGAACAAACACCTCTCTGATAAACTACGTCAATCTTTTGTCAAAGTCTGCTTCTGGAAAAACCAAGCTATAACTATTGATACAGGAAGTGGTCCTAGAGAACAGAATGGCAAAATGGGATTTTGGAACTGAATATCTTGCTGGCCAGAGATTAATAAAGACAATATTGCTGGTAGTGAGCAAGGTGACAAGTTCAATCACACTGCAATTACTGAAACTCTTAAGACTAGTGTGTGACCAGTCGGGTTTTGGTCCACACAGATTGCAATGCCCTGGCTCATGCAACATGTCTGGCACTTGAGCACATAGAAGCAATGTTAATAATATAAATCCATCGATTTTTAATAAAAATTTTAATTAAGTATCAAAAATAGAGCAAAAGAGCAACTCTGATGATGGTAGCTCCCTCCATACAATTCTGGAGTTTGTCCATGGTTCCACCAGGAAGCTTAGGTTAAAAAACAGAAAGTTAGGTTAAAAGTAGACCGAGTTCACTCAATCAGCAAGTGATATAAATTGAATTGGGGTTATCAGTCTCTACGTGGTCTGGTCTATGTCTAATTTGCCAAGCTTGTATACCCTTGATTTGCAGTTGTTTACCCAGGCACACTGCTATTGGGGAATCCTAAATTTTAACTTATGATTTTTTATGGTATGCGCTACTTCAAGCTCCGTCCATCTTCTCAGCCACGCAGGGCATTCTGTAAATCAGTGAAGTCTTCCAGGGGCAATGGTGGTTGAACTTGTCTTTCATTTTCCTTCTTTGGGTCTCTTGTTTATGAAGTCTTCATTGTTTGGAAGCTCCCTGATGAGTCCAAAGAGGTATTTTGTACATTTTGTACAGATTTTCTAGCTGTTCATACAGATTTTCTAGCTGTTCATACAGATTTTCTAGCTGTTCATACTTGAATGAATGATCTGCTAAAAGCTAGTCTCTTACAGTGGAGACGAAAAGCATAGAAAT